ACAGCCTGACCACCCTTTCTGAGGGCTTTAGAGATTGTGAATTTCCCAACAGATAATGCTTCAGCTCCGGGTGGGAAGCTGTGACGAACGTTTGAGTGAGAAAATATGTGTCTGAGTTAGAGCATCTGCTTTCATTACTTAGTTTTCAAGAGGACATTGTGAGTCAAGGAAATGAGTGGGTTTTATCCTGGAAAGGATCCAGGGGAAACTAGATCTTCTTAAGAAGACAAAGGAAGAGCAGATTTTGGCAGCTCTGAGGAGGGAGCTGTGGGCGAGACTGAGTGGTCTGAGGACTGGCCGTGTTGTTCAGTGTTGAGCTCTGCTCAGGCTCCCCCAGCAGCACAGAGACCTGTTCAGGGCTCAGGGTTAACCCGTTTAAACTCCTCCCATTAAAATCTTCCAAAACGAGGTGCCCTAAAAGAATGCCTTTGCCTCAGATAGCTGTGCTTGACGGGGATTGCCTGGAGAGAAGGTCTCCACAGGACATTCACAAAAGCCTGGAAGAAGGAGCATAGTGGGAATGAAAAGGAACTGGACTCAGCTGTGGAACTGCAGACTTAAAGTTTAGGGAAGCGTCTCCATAAGGAGACTCAGTCTCAGAGTCAAGTAACTTCGTTAACGATTCATAAGTCATCTATGTTCAGAAAGAGAGGAGGGGATTTGCATATTCAAATAATCTATATATTTCCACAGCTTGAAAAAATAAAATGTAGGCCCGAGTGCAATAGGGTTGAATAGGTGTATGTTAATATACACATGAAAATCTGCACAGCAACGGAGACAATCAGACTAGTTTCTATCCTCTCTTTATCCCAGGGCAGAGGCTAACTAAAGATGGAGGTGTTGGGTAGATTGGAGAAAGAAGGGGAAACGAGACCCTTCTGGATGAACCAGATCAAAGGCTATTTTTGTTTTGTTTGCGCTTTGAATGCCTATGACAGGCTCTGGGGACCTCATACTATCAGTTTCTTCTCGCATTTACTAAAGCCAGTGTCCTCTCTGGACACTCCTCCCTTCCCTATGTATCACTATCTTTAGCCAGCAGCATCCACACAACCAGGTTTAGGTCTCTTGGCTTTTCTTCTTACTGTTTCCTATGAAAACTCCAATACTCAAGATCCATCATCATGGCCACCATAAGGCTAAAATGTAAAGCAGACAAAAGAGAATTCAAAGTTCTTTCATTCCCATTTTACCAGATCCTTCTTCCTAATACCTTCCCGTCACCTCCCTCAGTGACTGCAAGTAGAGCTGTCCTCCCGACATCCTTCACCCCTCAACCATCTTCTTCTTGGCCTCATCTAATTGTATAAGCTCTGTGGCCTGTGTCCCCAGTACCTTGTTAGGTTTATTTAATCTTATTTGGTAAATAAAATTAAGTAAGATGCTATTAACTGATAAAGGTCTTTGGATAACAATTGCCTTTTGATAGAAGTTTTCACTTGCAAGAGCCAAAGGAGGATGTTAGAGATCCTGTGCTAAGATGGTAGGACGGGAGCATCCTTTGTTTCCCTTCCCGTCATCAGTTTAACTACTTTGCCTATGAGGAGCTCTGGCCTTCTACTTAAAGTCCACGAGACTGCGTAGGGCTCCCAAACCAACGCCTTGTTTTAAAAAAAACCAGTGAAATAAATATCAGTCTTTTAGCATATCCTCCAAAGTAGTGCTTGGTCAGGATCTGTGGGCTTATACAAACCTAGTATTAGGCTTAAAATAAATAAACAGTAAATCTAAGTAAAATTACCCTGTAAGGTATTGAGCTTTACAAAAAATGTGAACTCTCCTTGACTTCTTCATGTTCCTGGGGTTTTACTATTTTTATGGATTCTGCTTCTGAAGACCCTGAATGTATTTTTTACAGACAAACATGTTCTCTGGAAAACCTGACTTGAGAGAAACTCCATGCAAGAAGCTTTGTTTCTGGGGTGGGGGCGTGCATGGTCCAATAAATTTGCAAAATGCCGTAGATGCTATCTAAATTTTGAGGATTTACAATGTGCGTTAGTGTAGCGAAGGTTCTGAGAAGTCCTGTAGTGAAAAAGCCTGTTTGAACTTGTTTAACTCAGCATTTCCTAAACGTGTATACTTCTTTCATGCACAACCTTCTGGGGAACTAGTTTTCCAGTTAACACAATTGTGAAGGATGGGGTGGTCCATGATGCTGTAGACATCTGCTTGTACTCTGATTATTTTAGCAGAAAAGAAGAGGGAATGGTGTCTTGGAAGACAATGTGTGAAGCACCTGTAAACACACCCATTTTTTAAAACTCATTCATTTATTCATTAAGAATTTACTAAGCACTGACCATGTAAACAAGATTGAATAAGGTGTTGGGGAGCTCCCCTCAAGAAACCTACTCCTTGTGTTGAGGTGTTCATAGGCATATTGGGAGACATTTAGATAATAAAAGTGGTCTAGATTGCACGTATGTGACTGAACCAATGATTGATGGTAAGAAGATTCTTCCAGTTGTTGAGTGTTGACTTCTTGGGATTTGCAGGGAGTACTGGTTGGTGATGACTACCACCCCATCTAAGGCACATCTGTGCAGACATCCAGACTCAGTAAACAACTGACCAAACAAAAAACATCATGCCAAAGATCTTTCATTCTGTTAAGGCCTTGAGTTGGAAGTAATATTTCCTTTCTCTATCATTAAGGAGGGAGCAGAGGGCTTGGACCCAGAGGACCTCAGTTTGAATCCTACCTCCATCTTTCATGGCCTTGTGGTTGGATACCTCCCTGACATGGCCAAGGCGCAGACGCTGAGGATCCAGTTATTCATGTTTTCCTGGTGTGAATCTGGGAAGATCCTGGGAGGATCTGATGAAAACAACTGTGTCTTTCATAAAGTGAAAAATTCTATGCAAATGTTAGGTATTGTTTCCGTTATTCTTGCTTTTATTATTCTTGGACCAATCAAAATAATTAAACAATATGCAAGGCATTACTTAAATGCTTTCCATTAATTTTCTCCCTTAATCTTTACAACAACCCTAAGTTTGAGATACTATAACTATTCCATTTTACAGATGAGAGACTGAGGCTTACAGAATTTAAATCAGGGGTTTAAGTAAAAGATCTGCCAGTTTTTAGTGTTCTACATCTTTGATATGTTCAGCAACTTTGGAATTCATTCTTTCATTCAGCCGGTATTATTAAGCACCTACTATCTGCTGTGTATTGTTTCAAGTTCTGGGTATACAGTAGTGAACAAATGGACTAAAACTTCTGTTCTTGTGGAATTTGAATTCTAGTGAGGGAAGAGACAATAAACATAATAAATATGTAAACTATGTAGGATGTTAGAAGGTGATGAGTGCTATGGAGGAAAAATAGAATAGGATACGGGGTAAGTGGGAGTGTGGGGAGAGGAGGTGAAATATAATTTAAAATACTTTGGATAGGGCTGCTTGTTGAGAAGGTGACTGTTGAGCAAAGATTTGAAGGAGGCGAGGGAATGAGTCATGTGGATATTGGAGAGAAGAGTGTTCTGCTCGGAAGGACAAATAGTGCGAAGGTCCCAAGGTGTCAATATGTTGGCATGTTTGACAAACAGTGTGGCCAGCAGAACTGGAGTACAGTGAGCAAGGGGGAGCGTAAGAAACGGATCAAGAGCAGATGGTGGAGGGGCCATAGACCACTGGCAGGGCTCTGGCTTGCTCTATTCACAGAATGGGAGACTCAGAGGATTTTGAGCAGAGAAATGACATGATCTGATGTATATTTTAAAAGGATCGCTTTGGCCATTTTGTTGAGAATACTCTCTAGGGGTTAAAGGTGGAAGCAGGGAAATCAAAAACTGCTCATTCCTGGTACAGAATGAAGTGAATTAGAACGTGCTTCCAAATCTCATTTAGTGTACATTAAACTCGGTTAGTTCATTTTCCATATAGCAAAATGAGTAAGCTGAGGAGGCCTGTTTGAATACCTATTTATCTTGGCCAAATACTTTCTTCTAGCATCTTGAAGTCATTTATTTGGTCATGTTGGTGCTATAACCAAAATGAGTTTTTCTATAATAGTGACATAAATCCTGGAATTCCGATAGAAGATTGGATTAAATAGGACCTTTTTTTTTTTTTTGGTGGGTGGTACATTCTAACTACTTCTTATCACAACTGGTATAATTTCTAATGCAGACTGGGTAGTGATTTGAAATCACGATCTATCCAGGTTCCATCTGAAGGTAGAATATAGGATAGGATCAGAGCCACGATCTTTGGAAAACAAAGCATGGAAAACTGAGACAGTGGGAATTTGAATCCGTTTTGAATAATCATTGATATTATTATCCAATCCCTAGTCTTTGGATCCACACGCTGAACCTAGATGAGGAATTCGATGCTGCTGTTCTTATTGAGCTGATAGAACTGGAATCACATATACTGTGGTAAGCTCATTTATGGATATTTGAATGACTTTATGGACCATGCTTGGGTTAATGATAGGGCAGAAATTCCATTAAAGCAGAATACTATTAGTTAATCCATTGGTGACATGCATTAGTGATACTTGAAAAGTTATACAGTAGTGGGGACTTTTATCGTTTTAGCTCATCCCCCTATTAAGATTTGTAGGTGTTTTATATGAACTTAAGATTCTCCCATTCACCCTCAGTGACTCAAATCCTTTTAACCCACCAGGAGACACACCCAAGAAAGCTTTCTGTTAATGCAACAAGACTGTCTTGTTTTCTTTCAAAATGCAATACCGTTACTTGGAATTACAAGTCTACTGTGTGACAAGCAGCATCCTCAGTTGAAATACAGATTGCACAGTTTATTGGAAATGTGAATCATATTTTCTTTATTTACTCAAGGGGTCGTGATTGGGAGTGGAAGTGCAGCAAAGAGAGGAGACTTTTCTAGAAAGTATTAGATTATTCTGAAGTCCTTCCTCTTCACATCTGATTTATCTCTTGCTGAGAATTAACCAATACGTGCATGGGAGATATGCTCAGACAATGACAGTCAATTACCCGTTAGAAATATCTGTGGCGCTCACCCTGAAGCCCATATACTAAAAAATTTGAATGATACAGATTATCATGGGCCCTGCGCAAGGATGACACACAAGTTTGTGAAGCCTTCCATATTTTTAAACTAAGCTTATTGTGGAAGTCATTTTGCAATACATATACATATCAAATCATTAAGTCGTATACCTTAAACTTCTACAATGTTATATGTCAATTATATCTCAATAAAATTGGGGGAAAAAAGAAATATTTGTGTTTGGAGGGAGGGCCAAAGGGACGGGTAAGGCTGTCCTATGTTTTAAGACTGTGGTTAGGAATTTAACAAGAAATTGAAAATGCAAATACTGTATTAAGCCCGTGTGTAGGTACCTGAAATCTGGCATCATTTTAAAACAAAGTGGTTAAGAAGGTATAAATGTTAGTATTCCATTGCCATCCCTGCCACCACAAATCTACAGCCTACTATTTTCCTACCATACGTTTCCTAATGATGCTTCTGTTGATAGAAAGCCCCAGTCATTTTTTATTAATGGATGCTGTGACTTCTTCCCACTCTCTTTCCATTGGCACAGCATTTACTGATTAAGGATGCTGGGTGAGTCAGAATATTCCTTGCATAATGATTGGTTACTTGGAATGGGGACCAGCTCTTCCTTTGTGATAAAGAACAGTGTATATAAATAAGGGTAAGAGATTTTCTTGATGTTCAAGGTCTTTGGTCTCTGAGTTACAGACTATAAATTTCCCGGGCCACATTCTTGATGCAGAACTTCCACTGAAGTCAACAGAAGTTTTGTAAAAAAATTAATGGCAGGAAAATGCACTATTATTATTTATTATTATTTCTTTTTGACTGCTCTGAAGATAATTTGGTGCATAAAGTATTGAAGTTTTGAGTTTTTCCAATGACTCATTTTCATGCAAATGTTTATCACATTTCTGGGTATTGTTTTCCTCTATCATATATATTTCCATCTTCCATGGGTAAATCAACATCTTCATCCATATTGCACATTCAGCAGCTGTAAATTCAGCCTGTATTCTCATTAAATGTTACGAATATGTGATTTTCATTTATGATTTTAGTGGGTGTTTCTGAAATTTCCACGGCAGCATCTGGCTGGGAAACAGTGTCTGTGAATCAGAATTACTACACCTAATTTTTTTTTCTATGTACTCGTTTTTCTATTCCTTTGCCAGCAAACAGGAGGCAATTTGGATTCTTTTCTACCCTAATTCTCAGAGACCCCCTCCCATGTACAGACTTTAGGTTTGCTTTTGCTTTTCCTCTTATACATGGTTTAGGGAACAATGGAAACAAATCTTGAGTCCCCTCCCCTTCCTCGCTGTCAACACTCACATTGAAGCCACCACTATGGTGTAATCAGACCAGGGCAAGCGCCTCTGAAGAGGTTTTTCACTATGTTTGGTTTCAGTCCCCTCTAATCTCTCACTGCTCCTGTTAGAATGATCAAAAATGCAGAGATTACTCCACTTCTCCCTGCTTAACCCCTTCTCATTGTCCTTGGGATAAAGACCAAATTCTTAAACACAGCTCACAGAGCTCTACATACTGTGCTCCATACCTGCCTCTCCAGACAATTGTTCCACCCTCTCCCCTCTCTATGTTCTAATTGCAGGGACCTGGGTTCAGATCCCACATCACCACTTTCTTTCACCTCTGGACCTTTATGCGGGCTCTTCCCTTTGCTTGGCCCACTATCCCACTCCACACACTCTTGAACATATCCTATTCATCCTTCAAGTCTCACCTTAAACTCCCCTCTTCTGAGCGGCCAGTCCTACTGCCATTGATGGGCTCCACATTCCCATGGTATCCTGCCCTCGACTTTTCAAAGCAGCCATCACAGCTGACTTTTTGTTTAATGTCTATCTTCCCCACTAGATCACTTTCTTTATGAGGCTGACGACCACGTCTGTGTTGTTTATTGCTCTATCCCCAGCACCTTGCATATAAAAGGCGTTTGGGCACCACATAGGTATGTAATAAATGTTTAGGGACTTTACATTAGTCTTCATTCCACTGCTGTCCTCAGTTACTCTTCTCCACTGCTAACATTGGGTGAGTGTTCATCTCTTTCCAAGGAGATGGTGAGAAAAGCCCTTCTTTTGAGATTGCATAGATACTCATCTTCTTTTTCTGTCCTCTCTGGAGCTACTTCCTGATGGTAATTTTCACCCTAAGAGCTCACTCTTCTTTGGAGCATCTGAAACATCCACATGTGAATGGGAAATCACTAGCCTGGGAGATGGGAGGCTTGAGTTTGAATTTGCCTATGATATTAGCCAGGCTTTTAACCCTGGGCAAGTTGCTTAATCTCTCTGGTCATTATTCCTCTAGGCCACAAAATGTGATGAACAGACTAGACTGAATCTACAGGCTCCTCCGTGATGCTAAGAAGGCATTTCGTGCACTTTAGGGAAGAGTTCGCCCACGGTCCTGGAGTATAGAAGAGAAAATGATTGAAAGTGGTCAAATGGAAATTCAGCATATCTTCCTAGAGGAACTGTTAGATTTTGACCTGGAGAGGGCCGAGGATAGGCTGTCTGTTTCCTCCAACGTGCGCCCTCCTTCTCCCCATTCCTCTGTGAGTCACAGCAACCCTCGGCAGTGGCTCAGAGAGTGAACTGATGGCGGACACATATGAAACATTCTCTCACATGGATTAGTGGCAACCCAGGACAGTGTAGGGCCACATGGTTGAGGGGTGTGTGTGTGTATGTGTGTGCGCACAGAAGGGGGGTGTGTTGGGATGATTGGTATTGCCTGCCATCTAATCATAGTGTCTTTATTTATAGAATAGCCACACTCCTAAAGAATGTTTAATGTATAATTAGTGAAAAAGCATAAGATTTAGACTGACCAGGGTTTAAATTCTAGCTCCATTACTTTGTTGTGCATGTGCGTGTATGAGAGAGAGAGAGGGAGAGAGAGGAAGATCCAAGGAAATTAATTTGATTTCTGTGAGTCTCAGTTTCCTCCTCTACACATTTATGGTAGTAACTATGTCATGGATTTGTTTAAGAATTTTTCTCTTTTTTGGTGAGGAAGATTTACCCTGAGCTAACATCTGTGCCAGTCTTCCTCTGTGCTGTATGTGCATTGCTGCCACAGCATGGCTGACAAGTGGTGTAGGTCCATGCTTGGGATCCAAACCCATGAACCGGGGCAGCTGAAGTGGAGTGTGCTGAACTCAACCGCTAGGCCACGGGGCTGGCCCCTGTTTGAGAATTTTTAAAAGATAATATTCATCAGATGGGTTATTTGTGTCTATGTAGAATGCCTTCCCTCTCCCTCTGATAACAGTTCACTTCTACTTAGATCATGTCTGTGATGCGAGGGGCTGCCAATCAAGTAGGAACTGGTTGCTCTACAGAAACCCAGCTCCACTCTCCTCGCAGCAAGGGACCTGCAGATGAACTGAACCGGGCCAATCAGGGCATAGCTTTGAATCGTTGAAGTCCAAGCTGAAGCTTTCTGGTAGTGAAGGTGAGAAAATGCAGACTCAGAAGCTTCTGGCAGCTGGGGTCCTAGCTTCTCGGAGAATCCTGATTAGCAGTAAGAGAAGACATGGATAAAGGCGAGGTAACGACTGGGGAGGAAGGATCCTGGTACCATCAAATCTTTGGTTCTAGTCATTACTAATTACATTCTTATTCTTCTTTGTCATATGAGTCAATAAATTTGCCTTTTCGCCTAAGCCAGCTCAAATCGCATGCCTGTAATTTACATATCAAAGAGTCAGAACTAATAGAGTAGCATATTGCAGATCCTGAGGGGACCTTAGTTCTCTTCTTCACACAAATATGATCTTATTTTGTGTTTCCTCTAAGGATAGGCCCAGGCATCATGGATTGAAAAAATCAAGAGTTTCTATATCCTGAATTCCAAGTTTTTAGTAAATCAGTGATCGCTCCTTTTACTTTCCACCACGGATTTAACTACTAATCCAAACAATATTTTTTTATATTTTGGGCCTTTAAAAATATAACAAGTGTGGATACTTAAATTTGTTAATGTATACTGTTGCCGGAGTGTAGCATTCACACAATATTTCTAGGTGGTGATTTTGTAATAAGTATCCAAAAGTTTTGCTTAAATTCTTTCACTAATCAATTCCACTTCTAGTATTCTATCCTATGGAAGCAAGCCTGGTTGTGAACAAAGATATATGTGCAAATTTGTTTGTTGTAGTTTAATTTGTAAGAATGAAAAATGAAACAATTTAATGAATGTCCAAATCTTAGGGGTTATTGAAGTCCTATACAACCTTTTAAATAAGTTTTAGAATATTTGATGACATAAGAAAACTCTGATGATATATTTTTCAGTGAAAGATAAAGAGGTTATAAAAGAGTATATACAATATAATTTTGATTTGTAATACACACACACATACAAAAAGACTATGTGTGTGTTTAGAACCATATAACAAAAATACCAACAGTGGCTCTTCCCTTTGTTGTTGTTGGTGCCATTGAGACTGTTCCAACTCCTAGAGACCCTGTGTATAGCAGAGTTGAATCCTGTCTCATCATTTTGCACCATCCTCCGACCTTCTGCTATTATATCAGACAATGGTCCACTGCTATTCATAGAGTTTTTATGGCCAATTTTTTCAGAAGTGCATGGTCAAGTCCTTCCTAGTCCGTTTAGTCTGGAAGCTCCACTGAAACCTGTCCACCATGGCTGACCCTGAGGGTATTTGAAATACTGATGACATAGTTTTTAGCATCATAGCAACACTAGCTGCTACAGTATGACGACTGAAAGATGGGCGGTCTGGGAAACGAGCTCGGGCCACAGAAGTGAGAGCGCCTAATCTTAACTACTAGGCCACCAGGGCTGGTGGCTGTTCCCTAGGCAATTGGATTGCTGGTGTATGGAAGACATTGTGATTGACTCCCCAGTATCCATCCCTTTATCCCCCCTACCTCCACATCACGTCCAGTAGCCATGTAGTTTGGTAAGGTTGACCTTCACCTTGAGTTCTGCAGGTAGTCCATCATTGAGTGAAGTCAATTAGCACAATCCCATCTCTTTAGTTATGGTTATTAGGTTAGAGGTGGACACATAATCCAGGCCAAGTCATTTAGTGC